ATGCCGGGGATGTGGGCTCGATCCCCAGTAGGGACTGTGCAGGAAGCAGCTGATCAGTGATGCTCCTCTCTCATCGATATTTCTATCTCTCTGTCCCTTTTCCTTCTTCTCTCTCTAAAAATCACTAAAAATATATACAAAGTGCATCAAAGTTTTAAAAAGACACCATGATGCCTTGGTATACACATACTTGGGTGATAAAATTATAAAGAAACATCCTGCCAGTTCTCCCTGATAGAGTTAACTTGATCTGTGGGAGAGATTTCCAAGGCCCTCTGAGCTCTCAGCTCAAATCTGTTTTCACAAGGCCTTTCTGTTCCCTGGGATGGCAGAATTGATCCAGTGTCAGGAGCGCTTGGCCAACAATCTCTGTGGGTCTGGCAGGAGAGATGCCAGATAGTGGTTACTTTTGACAGTAGGGAGGGACTTGTGATTGAGACAAGGCACATGGAGGAACTCTGAGGTGACTTTTTAAAAAATTGTGTTGAACTTTATGTAACATAAAATTTACCATCGTAACTATTTTTAAGTGTATAGGTCAGTATTGTTAAGTACATTCACATTATTGTGCAGCCAGTCTCTAGAACTGTACTCATCTTGCAAAACTCTGTACCCATTAAATAACTCTCCATGCCCTGCTACCCCCAACACCATTCTACTTTCTGTCTCTATGTATTTAATGACTCTGGGGACTTCATATAAGTGGAATCACACAATGTTTGTCTTTTTGTGACTGGCTTATTTCACTTAGCATAATGTCCTTGAGGTTCAACCATCTTGTGGCAGGTGTCAGAATTTCCTTTCTAAGGCTGAATAAGATTCCATCGTGTGTATATACCACATTTTTTTGTCCATTCATCTATTGATTGGGGTGGCTATTTCTTGACCTGAGTGGTGATTACAGGGTGTTCATCTATAATAAGTCATAAAACCATGCATTTGTTTAATGTGGTTTTCTGTAAATGTGTGTTACTTTATAATAAAAAGGGTTAAAATTATTTAAAAGGTCCTCATTTTTTACTGGGGACACGCTACAGGTAGATCTCAGTCCTTTTACTCCCCAGTGGACGAAAGCATAGCAAAAAGCATTGCTGGGACTTGTCTTTATCGTCAGTTGGTCATGGGCATCCTTCTAGGTCAACATGTATGGGTCCAATTCTCTATTTTTAATAGCTGCATGATACTCTGGAGTCTGGATATACCATGTTTTTTTTTCAACAAGTCCCTTTTGGTGGCCTTTTAGACTGTTTCCAGATTTTTGCTACTAAAAATAATGGTGCAATAAACATCTATATTTATATCTGTATCTAAACGTAGATCTCTATGTAAAATTTCCTTATATACTAGTACTTTTTTTTCTGCAGGCATAGAGAGTCTTGTGTCAACAGTATGCTTATTTCTCCTTTTAGGAGATAATATCTAAATGCAGTGAATGATCCTGGATCAAGACAAAATTGCTATAACAAACAGTATTGAGATAATTAACGAATTTTGAATGTGGACTGTATATTAGATAATGTTGTACTCATGATAAATTTCCTGAATGTAATAAGTTTAACATGTAAGAGGGTCATCTTATTCTTGGGAAACAACACACTGAAGGGTTTAGGGGTGAAAAGTCATAGTATTTGCATGTTACTCCCAAATGGTTCAGAAAAATGTTCATGTGTAATTACTAGGTACATACATGGAGATGAAGCAAATGAGGCAAAATGTTAATAATTAGTTAAGCTAGGTGAAAGGTTATAGAGTTCATATAATTCTGGAAACTTTTTTGTAAGTTTGACATTTAAAAAAAAAGGTTAAAAACTTCTTTATGAGTTACTGCCAGATTACTTTCCAAAAAGAACAAACAGAGTAGCTCATAGTCCATCAGTCTCGATGGCACTGGTAGATGACAAATGGTATCTTCCTGTTTAATTTGCATTTCCTTGACTCCAGTTCTAACACTGCCAGATGTGTGCTTCCCGTGGCTCTGGGAGTAGAAGCCGGAATGTGTCTTTGGAGCGGATTACTTTTTGTTCTGTGAGCCCTCCTACTTAGGTACTGGGAGAGTGAGCTAAATGCAAATTTAAAGAGATCTTCTATAAGACAGACCACTGATTGCCAATGGCTTTACTTGGGTTCATTTATTTGGGGGTAGAGCGCCTTAAACTAGGGGTCTAGTTGGGAAGAGAGGATTCAGTCAGCCACTGTTGGAGGGGAGAAACACTACAATTAACATATGCAAACCCTTTTTTTTTCTTTTTGGCTAGGTAGCTTTCATTTATCCATATAATAACATCTTTTTCTTTAGGGCCACATTGTAAAGTGGCCATATAGGCCTCTCCATTCTGAAGGATTCATATCTACCGAAATGTTTTGAGATACATGGTGATTGGCAACTTTCCTAAAAGGCTGGATTTTTAGGAGGAAGGAAGAGATTGGAGAAAGGGTTAGGATTAAAGAATGCCAAGTGACTAGCTTAATTGGACATCCTGTGTTGAGGTTTTATTCCCCAAAATAAGGAGAAGCCAATAGGATGCTTGTTCAGGAGTGTTCTCATTGGTCCAGGCATGTGCTCCTCACTACCTCGGGTTTGCTGCTTGGAATGAGTCTCATTGTCTTGTGTTTCTGTGGGGGCTGTGCCACACTCCCAGGAGATACCTTTTCTCTCCAGGAAGCCAGGGCCCTTCCCTAGGGAGGGCTGAGAGCTCCCACCCTTACCCACACCCTCCCTTTTTGGTAAAACTGCCTGCCTTGAGGTGCTCAAACTTCTGGGGAAGGGCTGCTCAACCAGCAACCTTTTTCCCAGGTGGTTGGCCTTGGAGTAAAATGACACGAAATATATAATTGGGTGGTTTTACCTATGTATTGAGATATTCTTGCTCTGGACACTGCATCTTTTTTGGTTGGAGTTGAGAGAATAGAAACGGGAGAGATTCTCCTGAAAACCCTCAGATTGTGTCTTTGGGACCAGCCAGTCTGTTCTAAGTCTGGTGACCTCTGTTGACCTAGTTTGTTTAGAATAAAACACTTGAACACATATTCTGATTTACAGCCTGAGCAGGAATCAGAATATTCGAAACTTGGACCATCCAAAAAATATATGAAACGTAAAGTCACTCTTCTAATAAATCATATGGAAATTCAGTAGCAAACCCTAGAACTGATGGCAGGATGCAGAGGAAGTTTTCTCATTTTCACATTAGCAGACTTTTGGTTCTTTTCCTAAATGACATTGCAAACATCCTGCCGGTTCTCCCGGATAGGGAGTTAACTTGATCTGCGGGAGAGATTTCCAAGGCCCTCTGAGCTCTCAGCTCAAATCTGGTTTCACAAGGCCTTTCTGTTCCCTGGGATGGCAGAATTAATCCAAGGTCAGGAGCATTTGGCCAACAATCTCCGTGGGTCTGGCAGGAGAGATGCCGGTCTATTTGCACTGTCTAGGCCAGACACACAGGCCTATAGGCTCCAGGTCTTAGTAGTCACTGGACACCCAGATTATGAGGGCCAGATCCACGCGTGCTGGGGTCCCATGCCTCCTTGCCCCTGGTGGTTGACCGAGAGGTGGAGGAGGGTGGATTCCGAGTGCTTCATTCCCATCCACTGTCTCTGCCGCGCTTCCATCAGTGACAGCGTTTCTGTGCACATGGAGGGCACTAGCCTTTTGGGGGACAAAGAGGCTCTCCACCAAAACTACCTGCTTATTTCCTTCACCTGCTCAGAGATGTTCTCTCTGTGTGTATAATATACATATAGATTCTCTCTATATATACACACAACCACACCCACATCCATATCCTCTCCCTACCCTCCCACCCCCCACATACATATATAGAGAGTACCTGTCAGGTGCCAGGCATTCTGCATCTTTTGTCTTAGATTTTCACAAAGATCCTATAAGATAGGGATTATTGTTCCTGTTTTCTAGATGTGGCATCTGAGACTGGGAGAATTGTCAGGTGTCAAACAGAATATTGCTGTTAAGCAGTGGTATCCAGACATGTACCCAAGCCCCGCTGAGCCCTGAGCCCATGTTTATTCCACAGCATCACGTCCTCCCAGATGACCAGATGACCTGTGTTTGGTGGACAGGGTGTCCTCTTGCACTAGGAGGCATCCAAAGGCCGTCAGCTCTCCTCCCTGGGCTGTCATAGAGGCATCTGTTAGCTGACACCTGGCAGCCCATGTGACACAGGAGATAGGTAGGTCATGTGCAGTCAGCTCAGCCGTGCCTTGGCCTGCAGCATTGTCAGCAGCAATGCCTCTCTTCCTGTTGCTCAGTGAGAACAGCCTTTTAACCAGACCTGTGTTTTCTGTGCTGACAACATTAGTGCTTCTCAAGCTAGTTGTGGTGAAGGACCAATTTTTTACATTTCCAAGCTACAGAAGACTAATACTTAAAAAATATAATAAGAGTATCATGGCAAATTACTATAAAAGTTTCCCAATGCTTGCTCTTAAATTCTGTAGTTATCTCATATACTGTGGGCCGTGGAATAAACAGCCTGTGGTCCACACTGGCCTGTGGAGGCATCTCGAGTGTCACTCTACCATATGATTTTGAGGAGGCTTAGACTTCAGAAGAAATTTCTGTAAGCCACAGTTTTCTTTTAAATTTAGAGTAATAATGTCTGTTTAGCATTCTAATTTTTAATATTGTCAACTTTTTGCAATTACAAAAGTAATTCATGCTTGAAAAAAAATAAACTTAAATTATACAAAAATATCCAAACCAAAAAATGTTTCCTTTTCTCTCAGTCCCAACCTCCAAACTACTATTACCATTGCTGAAGTTGGACGTTTGTCTCACATTCAAGAAAGAAGGGTGTGGATCAAGATTTATGACGAGGGAAGGGACGGGAAAGGCATTTTAAAAATTTGTCTGTTTTCTACTCTGTCTTGATTTTTATTCAAGGGGGAGATTATAACCTTTAAGAGTGTTATTACTCTGTATAGATTCAAAGGAACACGACGGTTACTTCACGTTTTCTAACACCCATTCTCTTTTGTTGCAGAGCCAGATCACATTAATGGACATCCCTGTGTTCAAAGCCATCCAGCCAGAGGTCTGTACCTTGTCCTTCCTACTGTTCCAACAACCACATTAGAGTGACTCAGTTTCTCCCTTTCTCTCTTGAAGTATCTAAATGCATGTGAACGTTCTAAGCCTCATTGAAGAGAGCATCCAGAAACTGCATTCTCGATGGTGCTCATTCTTTGAGACAGGTGTTTGGCTTCTCCAGAGAATGGCACCATGTCTGGTCCACTCTGGCGGGGCTGCGGCATTGGTGCCCACGGCCTCCATGCCCGAGTCAGGTCTTGGCCCACTAATGACTTTTCCCAGGCTCCTCCTGCGGGTAAGGGTCACCGTCCGGATAGGGTGTGGGGGAACGTTTTTCTAGAGAGGTTTCTTTTGTTGATCCCAAATTCTGGTGGTTGCCTTGTATCTGATTTTGAAACCAGTTGCTACAGCAAAACACTGTTTACATTAAATTGTAATGTACATTTGTAGCAACAGCATAGTCAATAAAGAGAAAAAAGTTGACTTTAAAATGTTGATTTAAAAACTACTGGAAATGCTTAGTAGTCAACAATGAGGCTTTATAGTTATTTTAGTCAGGGTTCTTCTTTTGTTAACAACTAATAGAAATGCATGTCAAAGTAGCTGTGATAGGCAGAAGAGGACTTTATTACAGGGATAGAAGGGGCTTTTTACAGAATGGGCATGGAGTTCAGGCAGCCTGGAGAGCCAACCAGGACACAAACCACGCTGCTTCTTGCCTCAGCTTTTCCCTCTGCTTCTCTCTTCTGCCTTCACTCCTGTTGGCCGATGTGGTCCAACCCGGCCTCCCCACAGGGCCCATGTTTACATGATCTCCCCTGCAGCCATCCTCCACACTGAGACCAGCAACTCTCAGTCCAGCCCAGCTGAGTCACATGTCTAGTGCGGGTGCTGTGACCAAGGTCAGGAGTACAAGGCCAAGTCCTGCAAGCACAACTGAGCTGAGGGGACCCAGCCTGGTGAGTGGGGTGCAGTTTCAGAGGAGGAGTATTGGTGGAGAGATATGTCAAAAGGTGTCTGCTGCAACCAAAAGGTGTCTACTGTGAATTCCAGAACACTCTTACTGTGCCCTTCTTACAGTATGGTAGCTGTAAAGATGGAGAAAAACAGCATTTTAATGCACAGTCAGACCACAGATCCAGGCCTCCTGGGAGCTGGTATCTAACCTATTATAGATTAGGAGGAAACTTGCATGTTAGCTGCGATCAGCATTTATGTGAAGACCTGGCAATGATCTGTATTATTTATGTGTGTGCGTGTGCGCACCCATTGTGTTCATTAGGTTTGGGGAGCTGAGCTATGTTTGCTTTTCTTGAATTGGCTGACATCCAGTCTTCTTCTGTTGTTGTTTTTTTTCTAATGTGGAGTTATCTATTCTTTCTAACTAAAAAAATATATAACTGAAACAACTCGCTACCTCTTGGAGCCTTTGGGGGGATAGTTGTTTAATGGTCACCTTAGTTCTCAGCTGGAGTGACTTCTGATCCTGTTCTCTGCTTAGCTTTGGTCTGGAGTGGCTTAGACATTTGGATCTTTATTCTCTGTCTTGATCACTGAGCAGGGCAGCCCCGCCTGCTGTGAGCCCTGAACCCTGAGACTGTGTGTGTGAGAGGCTGGGGTCGCTGTTCTGGCTGATTGCAGGAGGGAAAGGCTGGGAGTTCTTCAGAGGCACAACCAGCAGCAGACTTTTCCCCAGGGCACTGCAGTTCGGTTTTTTTCTTTTTAAATATATTTTAATTGATTTCAGAGAGGAAGGGAGAGGGAGAGAGAGATAGAAACATCAATGATGAGAGAGAATCATTGATTGGCTGCCTCCTGCATGCTCTTCACTGGGGATGGAGCCTGCAACCCAGGCATGTGCCCTTAACTGGAATTGAACCCAGGACCCTTCAGTCCACAGGCCGACGCTCTATCCACTAAGTCAAACCAGCTAGGGCTACAGTTTGGAAGGTACCTCATCCAGGGCATATCTGATTTCAAGTTGAGACAAGACATTAAGGTGGAGATGTTTTGCTTTCAAGATTTAGCTTGGAGCAGTGGTTCTCAATTGTGGCTGCACATCAGAGTCACCTGGGCAGCCTCTGAAACATGGGTGCCCAGACTCGCCTAGACCACTAAATCTGAATCGCTGGGTCAGGCTCCAGAACCCAGTCGGCCCTGTTTTGCACAGGGTTCTGGTGCAGAGTGGGGATTAAGAACGAATTGCTTTGAGGTATCTGGAGAAGCCCCAAACTTGAATGTTTTGGATCTATGAGATGTTAGCTAAAAATGGAAGCGTTTGCTTCTCATTGTCATTGTCAACATTGCAATTAAAAGGAAGGTTCTGGGAGCTGCCCAGCTTTTTACTGTTTTCATTTTTGTTAGCAGACTGAAAACTGGGATTTTCCCCCTTGAAGATGGCTGCCACATTGTGGCTGGACCATCTTAGAGTTGGAAGGACATGAATAGTGGACAATGTTAAGTTTGTTGTAGGCAAGACTTTCTAGGAAGCAGAAGCCAGCATCTGAGAGCAAGATGGGCACTGTGAGTGACCCAGACTCCCAGAGGATCAGGAACCTTGGACTGGTGCCTCCACCCCGGCCACACATGAGAATCCGTTGGGGAGCTCTGTAAAAATACAGATGCCAGGCCCCGTCCTTGGAGATTCTGATTCCATGGGGTTGGAGTGGGTGGGGAATCTGCGTTTCAATCAGTGACAGTCAGTATGCTTTTTGATGCATAAATTGATCTGTCTTTAACCAAGGGGAGCCCTTTCATGTCACCTCCTATGTCAACATGATCCCTTCATTTTTGATAACTTCCTTGCTCTGTGGCACAATGAGATATTCCAATGTGATGTTGTACACTTCCCACTGAAGACCTAGATTCAGGCATTCCTTAGGGTGCTGGTTTCTTTAGTGGAGAGTAATATTCATTGGTGAGAGGATATTCATTGCTACTGGGTTGCTGTTGCTTTTAGGTCTTTTCGGTGGACAGGGTTAGGAAATACTTATTTTTTGAAAGAAAAATCATGAGATTGTAATTAGGGCAGGTGGTGTTATTTTTCCACAATTCTTCCTTCCCTCCTCATCCTTGTCATAACTTCTCTGTGAGTGTGTATATGTCCCTATTGTATAGATTTTGGGCTTGGCCCTGTGACTTAGGCACAAGTAATGCAAGGGGTAAGCTGAAGTGGTTGGAGGCATGGCACGTTTCCACCAGCCCTCCTGGAATTTCTACTCTCTGTGGTGTACTGTTAGCTATTGCTCATTTACCTGGAACCCCAAACCCAAAGCCTGCATTCCAGCCCAACCTGGCACAGTCCAGGGGAACCCAGCAGAAATCAGTTGAGTTGAAGTCATTCTACAGACCTTTGAGCATGAAATAAGTAGTGTTGCCGTAAGCCTCTGAGATTTGAGGGCTCTGTGTTTATACCACATTATCTTGTAGAAACATGACCAGTACAATGTTGATCTTTCCACTTCCAATCTAACATTACAGAGTTGTAAACTTCCTTCCCTTGATTTTTAAAATATATTTTTATTGATTTCAGAGAGAGGAAAGGAAAGGGAGAGAGAAATTGATACATTAGTGTTGAGAGAGAATCATTGATTGGTTGCCTCTTGCACACCCCACACCAGGGATTGAGCCCACAACTCAGGCATGTGCCCTGACTGGGAATCGAACCGTGACCTTCTGGTTCATAGGTTGACGCTCAACCACTGATCCACGCTGGCCGGGCACTTCCCTTGATTTTTATATGTTATCTTTTACACAGACAATTTTGGTTCCTAATAACATTAAACAATTACATTTTTGTATCATATATAAAACTAGAAGCCTGGTGCACAAAAATTTGTGCACTGGCAAGGGGGGGCTCCCTCAGCCCAACCTGTGCCCTCTCACAGTCTGGGACCCCTTGGGAGATAATCACCTGCTGGCTTAGGCCCGCTCCCCTGGTGGCAGATGGCACGCCCAATCCCACGGTGTCTGCCCCGTCTCCCCCGGTTGCAGATGGCAGGCCCAGATCCCACGCTGGGTCAGGCGGCCGCTCAGATTGTGCTGCTGCCCGCCCCCCTGCCCCCACCTTGGGCCGCATGCGGCTGGGGATCTCGCTGCCACCCGCCCCGCCTGCCCCGCCCCACACACGACAGGCCCGGATCCTGCGCTGGGGCAGGCGGTGGCTGGGGATCGTGCTGCTGCCATCCCCAGGTGGGGTGGCACAGCGGGATCTGCCTGCAGTATGCAAATTAGCCACCACCTTTGTTGGTGGTTAATTTGCATATCACGCTGATTAGCCAATGGGAGGCGTAGCGAAGGTATGGTCAATTACCATGTTTGTCTATTATTAGATAGGATAGTTTTCAAATAACTATCATTGTTAATATTAACCAGCAGACTACTGTTAAAGCTTAACACTTCTTTGCAATTCCATTTGTCTTTAGTTCTCTTTTTATCTTCTCTCCCTCCAAGCCTACCACTGACACACCAGGCGGGCCTCCCTCTTCAGTTCCCCAGAGTCTTTGGAAGCACCAGGGCAGAAAAGGAGGGCTATGCCCCCTTGGTTCTGGAGATCTGCCTCCTGAGACCCTGTTGTAATCCTGGCGCCTGGAGCAGGGCTGATAGTAAATATTTGTTGAATGAGTGGAGAGTGGCTGAAGGACTGGATGAGAGAAGTGCTGCAGCAGAACACTCTCTGGGGCCCGTTGCCAGGGGGCGCGTCCCAATTAAGGGAGCATTCTTACCAGGGTGCCTGTTTTGTGGTGTCACCACTTCCCCAAAGCCAGGGTTTCGCCTGGTGAGCTCAGCCTTTGAAGATTCAAATTTCCAAATGCTGATGAGAACTGAGTAGAACTGTGGCTTCTGCTCCTTTCTGCAGGGGGGACCGCAGAGCATCATCCGAGGCTTAGAGGAAGCCAGGCAGACGGTGAGTTCAGGATTGGCAGGGAGCAGGGAAAATGGAAGTTAGCAAATGTGGAGCCACGACTGCCCTGCTCCCTGGTGACTCTAACAAGTGAAAGTTTT